CACCCTGTATGTACATATATAATAAATAAATTCATGAGTACATACCTGTACATAATACATATTAAATATTTATTAAAAAGAAGTTTTAAATGAAAAAAATCCAAGATTTCGCCATTAAGTACGATCATTAAACTTAAAAAAAATACCTGATTCATAACCGCACGACTACTACCTAAAAATATATATTTATGACAAACCGCCTACCTCCATAGAAAGTATTCAAATGTTTAGTTTTTCTTAATTTTTAGAACCTTAACGGAAAGTTCTAACATATTCTTGTTATATTTTACGCTGTCAAAAATATACGGAAGCTCATTGAAGTGAAGACCTCATTTTCACAGAACACTGTTAATTGCTTAAGTTTGTTCAAATTCGCATATTCTGCTTCACGACTGTTTGACTTCGAAAAACTAACTGTAACGTTTTATTTATTTGCACACTTAATTAGAGAATAACTAATTTTTACGCTGATTTTAATAACACTTATTCCTATTTGTCTTTCTTTTTAGGATTTCAATGAGCAGTGTCCATATTCGCTCTCACCAGTCAGCACAAAGAGTCAGAAGCTATTGCGTTCACCACGAAAAGCAACCAGAAAAATATCGCGTATACCCTTTAAGGTAAATTTTAGACAAACAATATTTTATGATTTACGAATAAGTAATATATATGAATTTTACAGGTGTTAGATGCGCCAGAGCTGCAAGATGATTTCTATTTGAATTTGGTCGATTGGTCGTCTCAAAATGTGCTCGCTGTCGGACTGGGCAGCTGTGTTTATCTGTGGAGCGCATGTACTAGTCAAGTACGTATGATAATAAATTCAATTTCAATGATTAAGAAAACAAGTTTCTGTACATTTCATGCTGTTTAAACGAGCCATAGCTTACGACTATTATAAAAACTTTGTCATTGGTCCTATGTAGTGTTTCAATCAGTCAAATTGATGTGCAATTTGAACTTTCAATTTACAGGTAACACGCCTATGTGACCTTAACACCGATTCGAACACCGTGACATCGGTGTCATGGAATGAGCGTGGCAATTTGGTGGCAGTGGGTACACATCACGGCTTCGTCACCGTTTGGGATGTGGCTGCTAGTAAACAGGTGCGTACGCTAACAAGCTTAATACTACATAAATATTGAAAATAAACGACTATGAGCAGTTTACTGAAGCCTCAACTTTTTTAGATCAATAAATTGACGGGGCATTCTGCACGTGTGGGCGCTTTAGCGTGGAATGGTGAAATTTTGTCCAGCGGTTCGCGTGATCGTTTAATTATACAGCGGGACACACGAACTCCAGCGCAACAATCGGAACGTCGCTTGGCTGGCCATCGGCAAGAGGTTTGTGGTCTCAAATGGTCACCGGACAATCAATATCTGGCAAGCGGCGGTAATGACAACCGTCTGTATGTGTGGAATCAACATTCGCTCAACCCCGTGCAATCATATACGGAACATACGGCAGCGGTAAAAGCGATTGCTTGGTCACCACATCATCATGGTCTATTGGCTAGTGGTGGCGGCACCGCCGATCGTTGCATTCGATTTTGGAACACTTTAACCGGCCAGCCAATGCAGTGCGTCGACACCGGTTCACAAGTGTGCAATTTGGCATGGTCGAAACACTCATCCGAGCTGGTATCAACGCATGGTTACTCACAAAATCAAATTTTGGTTTGGAAATATCCATCACTAACACAAGTGGCCAAACTAACGGGTCACTCATATCGCGTACTATATTTAGCACTAAGCCCGGATGGTGAAGCAATCGTGACGGGAGCTGGCGATGAGACGCTACGTTTTTGGAATGTCTTTAGTAAAGCGCGCAGTCAAAAGGAGAATAAATCTGTACTGAACTTATTTACCAATATAAGATAAATTTCTGCTGGCAAGTAGGATCATAGGTTGGAGTTGAAAACTTTGCTTGTTTATTGAGCACATTTATAGCAAATACTAAAAATTAATTAACGCTAAAAATTACAATTAAACGTTAGAAAATGCGCAGTTAAAATTAAAAATATACAAAATTTAACGTAAAAATTATAAATTATATTTTTGAAAATAACTGCGCCCTTAGGGAATAACGCAATTTGTTCTCTAATGAAGCAAATTTTCCTCTCGACTGCAAATATAATTTATTTATATACATATATAAACAATTCTACAAAATTATATAAAAATTATGTTTGTTTTATAATTAATAGCGACTTGTCAATATTATTTATAAAACAAAATTTTTTGTTGATATTTTTTTATGTGCCGGTCACGTGTTTACTTATTATGCATGTTTGAAAGCACTATGAAAGTCATTTACATGTTAAAAGTACTTAAAAAGTATCAGAATTTGCTTCATTACTAAAAATAAGCGCATAATAAGTAATTGAAATAAAAGTGCACTGTGCACAGTCAACAATATGTTATATTGTTAATCGGTTCTTCTGCTATTAATGAGACCGATTATTGTTTAAGAGAACTGTATTGCGATGTAAGCCGTTAAGCCATTTTTACATCAATCAATGATGTCAATTCCTTAGCAAAGCAATATGCCAAATGACTATGCACAGTCAACTTTTTATTGAAATCTTAAATTGATAACAAATAGTAATTATAAAAAGTTTAAAAGTCAAAAATAAATTGTAATTTGACTTAGCATTATAAACTACACACTTAAATAACGTGCAATGTTAAAATATATTATCTCCGTTTTTGAAGGTAATTGTAAACTCAAAGCAAATTTCTTTAAATACAATACTTTATATATTTTTTTTTTTTGTATGAGGCTTGAGGTATTTTCGACAAAACAGCAGTTTTCAAATTGGAATTGTATTATATGCAAAATTTAAATATTGCAAGCGTTAAATTTACAGTCAATGTTTATATTTTTAGTTATATTATTTTGAATTGCATTTATTGGCTTATAACAAATATATATATATAGTATATATATTATAGAAATTCTATAATATTTCACTAAACTGTCCGTTTGAGAGGCATGCATCATAATTAATGCTAGCTTTTTGTCAATCACRTAAATAAGTAATTAATTGTAAATTGTAATTAAGAATTTGAAAACTTCTAATACAAACGGAGTTGTTGTAACCGCTTTTACCAAATGAATTTGTATATAAAAGTGAGTTTTTCATTTGCTAGAAGAGTTTGATGTTAGACACTCTGGTGAGAACTTGCGTGTAGGCATGCAAACGCACTGATAACATAGAAATACAATAACTATTATAACGAGTATATTTAGACAACTTATTTATAAAATTACATTGAAAAGTGTGTAGGTTTGTAAATAAAATAAAACTTGATATTTCAATTTTCTTTAAAAATATTAGTCCAAAAATTAAATAGTATTATAATAAGAAAACAAGCTAATAGCAAAGAGAAAGAGAAGATATGGGAAAATTGTGTATTTCACCAGCATTTCTTTTCAAATGACTTCCTAAGGCCAACAATATGTGGTAATTCTCATTTTTGCATCTCACTTCTATATATGGCATATTATGCAATTTCAAAAAAATATGTTTGACTAATATAATTGCTTAATTTTGTTGATTTTATTATTACGGTATTCTTTACTTTGTTTAAATTTCTTAAAGAAAAATATTCACATCATTTCATGTTCACATTATATTTCACTATATTTTGTTAATAATTTTTAATATTTTTTTATTTTTATATCAGTTTGGCATTACTGTCTTGTAAGAGGCAATACATTTTAATTATATTTAGCTAATTCTATTTCATATTGACCACTTTAAATTGTAAATTAGTTCATAATCTCGCAAATATGTTAAACGCTAGCCATGTCTCTTCACCACACATATATAAATACTACTATTAAATAGCTTATTTTTTCTCAATCTGTATAAACATATTTATATATTTTATACATATATGGATTATAGTCACTATATGCTACCATAACGAGTTTATATGTACATTGATTGAATAATTGAGCTGGATTTATAATTGTATTGTAATGATGCTAATATTTAATTGAATGAAAAATAAATTTAAAATACAAAAATTTATAGTATTTTGTATTTAATAATATAATATTATGTCAAGTATTGCACTAAATAAATGTTTGGTTCGGCATCGCATCTAATAACATCGCATTGTGGTGAAAACTTTAGGTGTTGAATATATACTCGTTTACCTCCACAAATTAAACTTTTTAATGACAATAGATACAATAGAAGCAACAGTAACGGAAATTTCAGTCCTAATTTAACGTATATATGTATACAAAGGTCTTAATTGAGAAAGGCAAAGCAATTCGTATATCATGGATAGAACGTTCAATATTGACTTCTAAAGAATTCTACTTAAAGAGAGTCTGGTTGTGATTTGACACCATTGAACTACTTCTTTTTTTTTGAAGTCATTGATCTTTAGCAATAAATCAATGACTTCAAAAAAAAAGAAGTAGTTCAATGGTGTCAAATCACAACTTTTTGGAGGCTACAAATGTCACATTTTCCTGAAATAATCGAATCTTCAAACTTTTCTCGCAATCCGTTTTGTTGGAACCAGTTATTTTCAAGATCAAGTTGATTGTTATCGATCTATACCGCTTTCCAGCTTCATTTCGAAAGAAGTACGGAAAAATGATTCCACCAGACCAAAAATTGTTTGCGAATTTCCTACGCACCAGAATCGGCTGGTTTATTTATTTACAGCACCACTCAGATGACAGTGAGCCTACTCGGAGAAGATGGTTTTCTAAAAAAAACTAGTTATCGCTTTTAAGTTGTTCAAGGCAAAGTCAACAAATTCACGACGTTTACGGCGGTTCAATGGCTTCAGTCTTGAGTGATAAAAATTTTAGAAATTACATATTAAAAATAGTTGAACCGGCACTTAGATACAATTCATCCATATTGGAAAACCCGGTATTTTAGTGTATTTATTCATGTACAGTGGCAACACTTGCTTTGGCTAACCCATCCATCCATGCGATGCGATCTCAGCTGTATTCAGATAACTTATCAATGCATTCTAGTTAGTGGCCTATAGAAATATGAATTGGTGCGCAATCAGTAATTTCTAATATTAAAATTAAACAGTATTTTTTAAATAAGTAGTGATTTAAATTCTAATAATTATTTAGAGGTAAATTATGCACTAATACAAACAGGGTAAGTTAAAACTTGTTGATATGCCTACATTAATGGTCTTCTACCTGACACTATTCTTTCGTATATGGTATTTCCCCATTGCATACATTCATTTGCATTTTGACTTTTTACGCGTCTAACTTGTGACGAAGTTTTTTTATTTAAAATTAAATTTCTACAAAATAATACACAAACAACAAGTTGTTACTATAAATAGGCTTTCTTTCGAATAATAGCGTTGAACAAAACTTGATGAAATTATTATTTTCTAGGTGTAAAAGTATAAAACAATCTTTTCGATCGATCGAATCGATATATCGTCCAAAACTGCGAAAACCTAATGTTGTCTAACCAGCATTTACCCATCTATTTAATGATTTCCGTCTATCTTTTGAATCTCTTCTGTATAAATTCGATCAGTACTATGTAGATATGTATGTATATCGGTATAAAATTCGTTGAGAACATTTTGTTTACTACATTATTTCAAACATTACGAATTATTTAAAATTCTTTTATCCTTAAAAATTTTAAGCTTTTATATCAGGATTATTTGTTGAATTTTTTTTTTTTTTTTTTAATTTAATTTTTTAGACATTTTAAAAAAATATTGGTTTTACTCATTTTCAAATTAAAGAATCGTAATCAATGTAGATATATTAACATAGATACACATATACATATATGTATACATGCATGTACATATGCATGTAATATTAAAATAATTACTAAATAGTGTTCTGCATAGATACATATATGTATGTACATACATACATACATACATATGTATAGATTTAGTTCTCAAAAATATTGCAGGCTATTAGATGTCGATTAGATGTGGATGAGCACGTAAGAGCGATTAGCATTTTAATATTTGCCCTAGACTAAGTCAATATGTGTTTTCTCAAATCTATTTTTTTATTTATGTAAATGTTTGAGCATTTTCTATTTTAAACTTAAAAAATATCGGGTGATTTTTTTGAGGTTAGGATTTTCATGCATTAGTATTTGACAGATCACGTGGGATATCAATAACGGATGTGCGTACAGCGCTGCTATAGTATGAATTGTCAAAAATTATCCAATTAAATCAACACGGCAGGTAGCAGCTGATATCAACCAAACATTGGGTTTAGTCTATAGGATATTTAGACTTGTCAGAAGACGATTGAATAAGGCAAAATTGTTCGTACGCATAACGAGAAAAAAACCACTACTTTAAAAAAAGAAATTTCAAAACGACTGTTTTCGCCAAAGCTCGTAAACGGTAAAGCTTAAATTTTTGTAAAAATATATTGTGGAGTAACGAAACAAAGGTTAAAAGGATAGGACCAGATGGCAGAATATTTATACATTGTCCTAAGTGCCAAAAATATAATAACAAATACACTCAGAAGACGATAAAGCATGGTGGCGGAAATATTATGGTTTGGAAAGCATTTCTTTGACATGGTGTAGGTCCGCTCGTAAGAATCAATGGAATTTGCCGTTAAAAAACTTGGTACGTTATATGTACTTAAAGCTAAGTGTCAGAATCTCGTAGAAAGTATGGGTCGCAGGTGTGAAGCAGCCATTAAAAATAAAGGTTACAGCACAAAATATTAACAATAAAAACGTCTTGTACGACAAAAAATTTATAAAAATGCAATATGAACTAAATTGTCCACCTTTTTTAGGTTCGGTCATTTATGTGTCCAGCTCATTATACCAAAATTTTCGCATTTTGATGATTATTTTTTTAAGCAATGAATTGCAACTTCATTTTGTACTGTTATTTAAGACAAAGAATGAACCCCAAAGACTTTATTAAAAACATTTATGATACTGTACCACAAGAAACAATATATAAAAAATTCCATAGCTGTATATATATATAAGTACATGGGTTTATATATACACATGCATATTTGACTTAATTACAGTCCTAGTCTTCTTAAGCTAATATTACTTCCAAATATTCTGCAATGTTGGTTCATCATTTTTGCCAACCCCAATAAAAATACTGTTACACCAAAGTTGGTCTCATTTAAATGGTAAAAAGACTTTTATTATTTAATATGGCGTTAGCAACTTTATATACATATGTACATATATTTGGCCAATAAAGATTAAACTTAAGCACTTTAATATGGTTTCCCTTATTATGTACTATATTTCAGCTGCCAGTTTCTATTGTGGCGGTGTGTTGACGTATCGAATTCGCGGAGTATTTTAGCAGTGTAATATGAAGTTGTTGACGATAATCACACTGTTCGTGCCACTCATTAGTGCCGATATATTCCCGTTATCCATTATTCACATTAATGATTTTCACGCAAGGTAAATGTTGAAGTAGATTCTATATAATTTTACAAAAAAAGAAATCTATGAATAAGGCCTCAAAAGGTATTTACGAGTATAAGCAAGTGGTCGTTTAGCAAAAGTTAACAATAAGTAACATTTGTGTAATTAGGCTACAAGTAGTTACCCACTGCATAAAATTCGCTACATAAAACCGTTTCCAAAATACGCTGGGTAAATAAGTGTTCGACAATTTAATAATTAGCAGAGAAAAGCGGGCCATAAGAAATTGGACTTCAAGCTCTGTCGTAGCTTTTAAACATATATATGTATGTATGTTACTTAATTTAGATATCTATGTATTTGTCGTATTAAAATTATGGCGTTGAAGGATTTCTTCCTTTTCCCAACTAAACGTTTGTTTACAAGATATAAAAAGAAGTTCACGAATAATCAAATATTGACAATGCAGATTAGCCTTTTTGGATGTTGTAATATAATGACTAATTCGTTCGCAGGCGTTTATTTTATTTTATCAAATTTCATATATTATATTTTATAAATTTGTATGTATTCAAGAATAGATTATCTTTTAAAAACAGTATTTATTGGCTTTAATTGCTTGTATTACTAAATTAAAAAATACCATTATCTTTATCTTGATAAACATCACGTGCCATTGAAACTTATACATATGTACAGTTTCGTGATAATTTCATGTTCGTTTTTATCTGTGTGTTAATAAAAGCGAGATAATCTTATGTGATATCTCGATATTTGTGTTGTTGAAAGTTACCGCTTAAAGAATACATAAATTGTAATTCTAAACTTAATACAAAATATGTATACATATATGTGCTAAAAATTTCATATAGTTTCATATACATATACATATATTTTTGAATGTTTGACTTTAAAAATTACATATTAAAATTTTTAAATAATATTTCAAACATTTTTGAGTTACAAGATTCAGTTCAATCAGTGTATCTTCCAGCAAGACTTTCTCAAAACTACATTATTCAAGAACAAATCATCTATTGCTTTGATATTTTTCTGCATATTTTGTATATACGGGTATTCTTTGTAAAATTAACTTCTGGTTTGATGGTATAAAAAATGTAATTTTGTCGGTTCAAAAAAATTTTTTTTTATAAACGTAATATAAGTTTATTATTATACAATAAAAGGAGTTTCACTCAGCTTGAGCGAAATTCGATTTTTTGCAAGTTTATTTACAATTGTAGGTCATACCTCACATTTCTATTTTATTATTCTTTTTTAACCACGATGAGGTTCGCTAAAAATTAAATATTATTATTATTTGATATTCTTTGTGTACATGTAAGATATTTCATGCAGGAGTTTTCTTTGAAAAAAAAATCAAAAAATTATCTTTTTTAATCGATTATACTAGTTATGACTCTTAATACACTTAAAAAATCTACACATTCCGCAATAGATAGTTCTTTATTTAACAGTTCGGTGAACTCCCCATTATACAATATTATTATATGTATATAAATCCATTTTGCGTAAAGAATTACGTCCAGTCGTACTGGCAAAATTATTTCAGTATGTAGCATCGAGAGAGTGTTATTGATTCTTATGTAGTGTTATATAAAATGTTTTGTGTTGAATTGTATGTATTAAGTTAGTTAGTGGTAGTAAGTAATCTGACATATTGCCAATAAATGATACATTAATAATGGAATCACTTATATTCGTGTATATTAACGGTTAACAAGTGAACTAAAATCGTTAGCCAGTAATTTTTCCTTTATGACTAATGATTTACAAAGCAATTAAAAAGTATAAAACCAGATAAGAATTGATTATAACATAAAGTAAGTCGTTCCAAATCATTATATACATATGTATATACTATAAGCACAGATGTCTTAGATTGTTAAAGCGCTTCAATTGTATTGAAAGGAAAAAGACTGGTTCATCTGACTAAAATCTCTTCACTATTTCGTGTATTTATTTCACCATTATATATTCATATCTTTAAGCATTATATTATATCATTCATATTCAACAAGTTTTAAATCTGGCTATAAAGTTTGATGCAATCTCATTTGAAATTTTTATTATCTGCCGAGAGCCAAGTGTTCTATACTTGTATGATGAACTTGGGCATTTTATATTTTTTATAACTGCATTACACAGATTCGAGTCTACGGATACATCAGGCGGCACGTGCGATGCTGGCGAAGAATGCATCGGTGGCTTAGCGCGAACCATTTACACTGTAAAGCGATTACTGGAGGAACAAAAGGACCAAAATCCGGTTTACTTCAATGCAGGCGACAGTTTTCAGGGCACACTTTGGTACAATATCGGCCGGTGGAATGTGACAAGCCAGTTTCTGAATATGCTACCCGCAGATGCTATGGTAATGCGAAACAATAATAAATAAAAACAAATATTTTACACATTATCCTTTCAAATCAACATTAAATTAGACACTTGGCAATCATGAATTTGATCATGGCATTGAGGGTGTTGTGCCATTTCTGGAAAGTATCAATTCACCTATGTTGGTAGCAAATATGGATGCAAGAGATGAACCGGATATGCAAGGCAAATACCAAAAATCGATAATAATCGAACGTAGTAACAGGAAAATCGGCGTAATCGGCGTTATTCTCGAAACCACCTATGTAAGCAAAGATTGCTCATCGAACCGTGTTTGTTGTTTCATAATTGCGATTTTCTTGTTAAATTAGGATTTAGCCAATACTGGTAATTTGATCTTTCAAAATGAAAGCACTGCTATACGTGAGGAAGCTCAAAAGCTGAGAGAACAGGGTGCCAATATAATTATTGCCATTACACATTGCGGCTATGATGTGGATAAATTAATTGCACAGCATGCCGCTGATGATGTCGATGTTATAGTGGGATCCCACTCGCATACTTTCCTATATACTGGCGATAAATTACCCGGTCCCGACAAGCCATATGGTCCGTATCCCACCGAAGTTGTGCACGAAAATGGTCATCGCATTTTGATTGTTCAAGCTGCAGCTTATGCGAAATATGTAGGAAATATAACAGTATACTTCGACGATGATGGCAACGTAGTTGACTACTCGGGTGCACCGATTTATATGGGATCCAGTGTACCAGAGGGTGAGTACGCATTTTTTTGTAGTATGTTAATTAGCAGGAATTATTCTATTTAAATTACTAACATTATTATATTCTTCTGCAACTAATAAAAATGCTATTGTAGAAGTTGAAATCCTTGGAAATTTGCTTCACTCGAATAATTACTTTTACACTTATTTAAACCCGTTTAACATAATACTATTTACTTGTTTAATGTACATTAAACACATATTTTCGAAAATCTGAAACGACTCATTTGGGTAGCTAATATTGTTTTATTTAAATATTTAGCATCAGGTTTTACTAAAATTGTATACACCAAACTGCATTTTAAATTGTTTCACTAATATGTCCCTTCTTCCATCGCTTGTAGTATAGAATAAAGCCTTTGTATATTGACAGTATTCGCAAAACTGTAGTGCATGTGTATGGTATATAAATATAGTGAACTAATACAACAACATTTTTAAATGCACTAAAAATAGTGCATGTGGTTTCAGATACACTCACAAATAAATATACATACATACTATATATATAGTGATATTGAATATATTGCGTACTTATTAAAAAAAAGTGTTAACTGCATGCTTCCACAAGGGCTAATAAGCTAAACGGTAATTTATTATGTTAATTATTTTTAAAATATAAGTCATAATATTCGTACAATCATTCGCAGACCCCGACATTGTTGAAGCTATGAAGCCATGGCAAGAGATCATTGATGCACAGGGTTCAGTGGTTGTTGGTGAGACAAAAGTCGAATTGGCAATGTCAACATGCAGCGATTCCGAGTGCAATTTGGGAAATTATTTCTGTGACGCAATGATACATGCTGTAAGTATGCCATATTTTTGTATAATATGCTCGAATTCACCCAGATTTGCCTATGTGTAGTTTACTGCTTTAACCCCGTATTCGGAAATGCCATGGTCAAATGTTTCTATTGGCCTGATAAACACAGGTGGTCTACGAGTGCCGCTTAGAAAAGGAAGTATGTGCGATTTTGTTATTTTTATTTTACTTACATGGCATTTTACTCAAAAATTACAATATCAAATTTTCTGCTTATAGCTCTCACATATGCGCATTTAGTCACAATGTCTCCATTCGAAAATTTGCTGACCGCCTTCAATTTACCGGGGCATAAGCTCTTAGAAGCATTGGAATTCAGTGTGCAACCGATAGATTTGAAGAGTAATACCACAAACTCTCCAATTTATATGCAAGTAGCTGGTTTAAAAATTACATATAATTACAATAATCCCGTTGGAGAGCGAGTGGTTGATATCAAGGTACGCTGTGCAGATTGTGCCATTCCAGTTTATGAGGATTTCGATTCGAGGAAAATTTATCGTATAGTGGCACCAGATTTTCTAGCTGAAGGAGGCGGTGGTTTCACCATGTTCAGGGATTATGGCTCGGACTGGCAGTTAGTATAAATTGTTATATGTAAATGTCCACGATCAATAATATTTAATATTTAATATTTTTGTGRAAATTATAGAAAGGAAATGACAGATATTGATGCGCTCTTATCGTTCACCCGTAATACTAGTCCAATATACATCGGAAGAGAGAAACGTATAACGGTATTGGGATAACAAACAACATTTCTTTATCGAATTCCATTTTAGCATAAATTTGTTTATAATAACTAGAAAACTGTATTTAGAAATGTTTAATAAATTCAGTGATTTTAATAAAATGACTATAATATTCGCAAAAAATTGGCAATAAAACTGAAACGAAATGAATTCTGGACTTAGTAGTGAATATGCTCTCATGAAATTTTTCGAAGCTCTTAAAATGTCGCGCGGCACGTTTTTTAATTCATTATTATTGTTTTTTGATGAATAAAAGGGTTGATTAAATTTCAAAACTCTACATATGTATACCTCTTCTAATTCTAATACTTAGAACGTTTTAATTTTATAAAATTAAAGTTTTGTTAGACTATTACTAAATTAGTACTATTATCTGTACAATTAATGCATTCAGACCCAGAAACTGCGGCTGCAATTGTACCCATTAAAGAGGAGATGGATAAGGTAGGCGCAGTTGTTCAGGGTGAGACTAAAGTGGAGTTGAAAAAATCAACCTGTAGCAGTGATGAGTGCAATTTGGGAAACTTCTTTTGTGATGCTATGATACACGCTGTAAGTAATACTCATTCACATGTAAACCCGTTATTTTCTATTTATCAATAATAAACACTTCTACCATAGTTCACTGGCTTAACACCGTACTCGGAAGGATCGTGGTCTTACGTTTCCATTGGAATTGTAAATACAGGTGCACTGCGTGTTCCCCTGTCCCCAGGAAGTAAGTCATAATAAATTTATTTTAATTTCTGCAAAATAAAATTTTTTGTACTTGCATTTGTAGATATTACTTATTCGCACATAGTGACGATGTCACCGTTTGAAAACAAACTCACTGCCTTCAACATACCTGGTCATAAACTATTAGAAGCATTGGAATACAGTGTTAGTCCCATTGATTTAGATGGTGGAGTTACCAGCTCCTACAGATTTATTCAAGTATCTGGTCTTAAGATAACCTACAATTATGCTAACCCAAACGGAGAAAGAGTGGTCGATATTAAAGTTCGTTGCTCCGAGTGTGATATACCTGTTTACGAGGATTTCGATTCAACAAAAATTTATCGTGTTGTCGCACCAGATTTTCTAGCAGAAGGAGGCGATGGTTTCGCAATGTTAAGAGATTATGGCTACGATTTCCAGTGAGTTTAGTAGTTTTTGAAAAACATAATTTTTTTAAATTATCTTATCAACATTATTATTATTACAGAAAAGAGATGTCCGACTTGGACGCACTGCTTTCATACACAACTCAAGTAACTCCAATCTTTGTCGGAAAGGAAAAACGTATCACTGTATTACGGAAGTAACGGAAATGCCAAATTCTTACTGTTGATGTAGCAAAATACGCCAATTATGAAGAAGAAGATGTAGCAAAAATGCTAATAAATATTATATTCTGTATAAAACTAAACCAAAGAATACTTAAATAAATTTAAATGCGTTAACTGTAAAGCTGAGAATTCGTTTTATATGTATAAGAAATTCAGAAAATCCTTTCCAATATAAAAACCATATGCATATAAACCGCCAAACAACTTGTTAACAGTGCTTTTTTATTTTAATTATAATTATGTCCCTTTTAAGTAACATTAATCATTCAAAATATATAGATCAGCCTCTTTATTATTCGGTCTTATTTATTTCTTATGGTATAACACTTTACAATTAAACCTGAGGAAATAATTTGAAACATTTTTTCAGATAAGGAAGTTTTAAAGCTGAAACAAATTTGGGCTACTAATATCACTACTGAGGGTAATGTCGTGGTTGGAACGTCCAGAGTAACATTGCCAAATTATAACTGTGCTCAGACTGAGTGCAATATTGGAAACTTATACACTGACGCTATTTTGCATGCGGTAAGATGGGGATTTAATCAAATTTGCCGAAATTTACAATTAACATTATTACTCAAAGTTTTTACGTTTGGACCCCTACAACACAAATAAATGGGCCAATGCCTCAATAGCTATAACAACCAGTGCTGAAATGCGTGCTTCCATTCCACGTGGCAGTAAGAGCCAATCTCCAAGTTTTACACAAAATAAAAATAATAATAGTTGTTAAATTTTATAGACATTACTTACAAAGAAGCTTTTCAACTTTGCTCGTACGAAGGTGATCTTATAGCCTTTGATTTGGCTGGTAAATATTTGCTGGAAGCTCTAGAGTACAGTGTGTCATCAATTGATATAGAAAACACTGTGAACGAGACTCATAAGTTTTTACATAGTTCGGGCATTAGAGTGACGTACGATCTTCGGGCTGCCAAAGAAAATAGAGTAGTGAGTGCAGAAGTGCGATGTACTGACTGCGCTATCCCCGTTTATGAACCATTATCTCCAAATAAAACTTATCGTATTATTGCTGCAAGGTATGTGGCCACCGGAGGTTATGGATATTCAATGTTTACAAATTATGGATCATCACGCAAGTAAGTATGAACTTATCCTTAAAATACTTTAAATAATTCATATTTTGATTTCTTTCAGCATACTTCCGGTGAATGAGCTGACAGCTTTGATCGATTATTTCAAAGTGGAAAAACCGATAACTATTGGCTTGCAGGGACGAATTAAATTGATATAGATAAACAAAAATTTCTAATACTATTGTATCTGTACCGATGAAAAATTTACTTAAAATCAACTATTTAATTTGCTATGGCAATGTTAATTTAATATTTGTTTTATTGGCGATCCAATGAAGATCTTCAAATTTTCTCTCATATGGTAAGGATTTATTATAAATATATAATAATAACAGCCGGTAGCACTAATATAGAAAAAAATATATGGAAAAAGAAATATGAAAATATACAATAAATGTCAATGGAAACAATCAAAATAATCGGAATCGACCGAAGCAGAGAACGTATACGAACGATATCAGGCCAACGTGATGTCGAAAAAGTCAACAAAGTGAAATGAAAATTTGCGAAGTTATTTGCGTCTGTTCAGACTAATATGAACATGATTTGACAACAAATAAATAGCGTTTCGTTGTATAATACGAAAAACATCAAATGTGATTACAATAAAAATATATTAAAATATCGGTGAAGGCTTAAAATAAAGTAAGCTAAAGCATGTAGTTATTTTTATTGTGTACATACATATGTGAAAAATGCTACATAACCACAAATGTTAAGATGCTTAAATCGCAGTATAAGAAAAGTAAATCTGAGATCTATTGGAAATTAAATATATATAATCGTTGGGTCAATATTTAGGGTTAACGTTCTGGTATGCGCGATTAAACACAACCCATCCTATAAAAATGAAAAACATGTGTTTGTGTCAAATTGGGTGGATGTTACATTTGTTTTTGTTGTGCTACACATTTTCCATGTGGAAGTGAAGTGGGTACAAAAGTGGCTTAGTCATACAGGATTGGATTTATAATAACTTATAAGGCATATAATGTATATTTGTGTTGGATTTAAACACCCAGTATTAATAATAAATGAAGAAGGTTTATAAAAACATTTTTTTATCATCACACTTGAATACAAATTTGGTTTATATGTGGGTGTTGCGTAAATTTACGACGTACTTTAATTACTTAACTAGAGAATTAAAAATTAGCATCTTCTTGTTTTAAAATTTTCGCATTTCAATTAAATATTATTTTATATTGGTTTTTAAGATCAGATTTATGTTTAACAAATTGTTTTAATATCCTACGACGTCTTGTCCAAGTTTAATATTTTACTTTGATATTATCTTTGATATGTGTGTATTATTTTTGAATCGGTTTGGTGGTATTAAAGGTTAAATATACTTAGATTATACATTTCAGATTATATATTTGTATTCGTATTTTTAGGTTATAATGCAAATTAATCAATACCACCGACAAAGAAAGCGAATTATGTTATAAACCACTTAAAATGGCAGATTAAGCAGGCATCGAAGATTCAATAGGACCTTGTTAATTTTCAATTTATATTCAATCGCAACGTTACAAATCCCATAATCATGAGGGTTGTTGCAATGGTCAGTGGTGGCAAAGACAGTTGCTACAATATGATGCAGTGCGTCGCAGAGGGTCATGAGATTGTGGCACTAGCAAACCTGCACCCAAAAGATCGTGGTAAGCAAAAAAATGTATATAGTAATATACCAAATTTTGCTATATGCAACTTGCAAAAAAAAAATGTCTAGCACTAAAGTCTGTTTTTAAGTAATTATATCTCAAGCTTTCAATTTAGTTACAAGAAATACTATATATACTAATAATAATTAAATATTGTAATACGCGTATTTACCCAATTAAAATAAGTAGGCCAGCCGGTATTTTTATCTGCACACAATGGAAGAATGTACTTATCAGAAAAGATGTTTGTTTTTATAAACTTAACGCTTTAATTAAATAGCTCTGGCTTTGATTTGTTTAAAGATGATTCTAAACAAATAACAAATTTCTGTAAAAAAAGTTAGTAAAAAAAATACTTATTTAAACTTTATTTTTAATGCAGATGAATTAGATAGCTTTATGTACCAGACCGTCGGACACATGGGCATCGAGAGTTTGGCGAAAGCAATGAATCTACCACTATATAGACGTGAAACCAAAGGCAAGAGTACACAAACTGGAAAACATTATGTGCCTACAGATGATGATGAAGTGGAAGATTTGTACAGTCTTTTAGAGTTGTGCAAGGTTAGTAATTTGCCTTAGGGAAATTATTCGGTTTGTAAGGTTTTAAATAAACATAAGGCAATTGATTGATTATAAAAATGTGTAGAAAATTGTATTCACATTTTTGTTTGTAGTAAAATTTGGATTAGAAGATTCTATCCACAATATTTGAGCACATACATACTCAACATATTCGCCCACTCGTTGCGTTAGTGTGTTGTATTTAAGTATGCGCCCAATATAACTTTTGCATTGTATACAAATATTCTTCTTCTATTTTTTCATGTGACTGCTTACCCACATACAAACTAAATGAATATATTAAATAAGTGTTTTGTCACGCTCATCAAAAAAAAAACTTCTTTCGCTGTTTGTTTACTTTTTCCATTGGATTAATTGTGTGATGATACTAGAATTTGCATATATGAGCAGCATGAGTACTATGTTCATTTGAAAACAACTGTATA